GATTACGTTACGACTGACTGAATCACATAGCCGTATCGTTATTATTGCCCTGTGAAAACTGCCATTATTCTGATCGACTGAAATATCGTTACACAACGGTCTATGATTTATTTTGGAGCTGTAATTTTAACTAATCACACTTGCATGATACGAGTGGGGGTTTATTGTAAAAGATCTGTCGCAGATTTCAGTTTTCAGAGTGAGATTTACTCCAAAAGTTTTGAGGAGTACTCGAATTGAGTGATTAATTTTACTAGTAATCAGTTTCTATATAAGGGACAACCATATCGTACAATGAAATTGTGCGCGAGGGTTCGGTCGTGTCTCTCGCTGATGGCACATTTATCGTTAAACGGGCTCATAACGATCGGCGCGTTTAGCGTTAATACGGGCTCTTTGTGTCCTTTCGAATATATTGCGTCGTACAGATTGACGTACATGGAGACATGCTCGTGCACATGTATTCGTGCGTGTGGACACACACACAGGCACACACATCCCCGCGTATATGTCTCGTCTACGTCCTGTTATCGGGTGCCAGTTGGCCTGCCGACAGGACGTTTTTATTTCGATGAAATTCAGTTGGAAGACGCTCTCGCGCGGCATATATAAAATATATACGTTCGGCACAACGTTCGAGCACGATAGAACCCATATAACGTGTGCCTTCCAACAAGCGACGCGGTACAACACGGTGATCATCTCATCCTTGTTTGACATTGGCGAACAACAAAGACATGCTGATACACCGTGTCATCTGTGTCGCTTTTGTTGGAAGGCACCCAACGTCACCCTATTACTTTGCGAACGTACAGGTGCTTCGCAGCTCTGCCGCGCTGTGAATAAAGTGGATAAGAAAGGGGGGGAAAAAAAAAGGTCGACAGCATTTATCTATCCGTTTCTCGCTTCAAGATTCCGCTTCTTAATTTCCACCTTGTGTGTTACGAGCGTGTGGTAAAAGTTAAACGAGATAGTAAGCAGAGGACAAATATATGTATTTGTATGTATGTATATATATATATGTGTGTGTGTGGTGTGTGTCGGAGGAAAGCTAACGGTAAAATATTGACGCCACCTCTATACGTGATGTTCGCTGAATATTTTATTAAAACGCCGGCTATAAAGGTAGAGGATCGTGCGAGCGTCTTAAAATAAATACCAGGAAAGCACCACGCGGCAGAGCTTCCCAGCGGACCGTACAGTCGAAAAAGTCGACTCCATCCATCTGAAAAGCTTGTCAATTCTGCATTCAACGTTTATAATTAATAACGTAATGGACTGAGAAGAAGCGATTCGCGACGTCCGATGGGGCGAAATTAGTGTGTCATGCTTCGTAGTATATATATATATATATGTATATATATGTATATGTACATGTATATATACATATATAGATAAATCTAAACACATCGTGTGTCGAGTTAAGATTACTCTTTGTTAAGCTTCGACGAGAGAGAGAGAGAGAGAGAGAGAGAGAGAGAGAGAGAGAGAGAGATATGGAAGGGATAATTTTTCTTATTAAGAACATTTTTCTTTTAAATTAAATAAAAATAAGAGTAAAGAGTCAAATAGTTTAAAAAATATAAGTATAATTAGTTCAAAATTTATTTTTCTTTCATATTCTCCGCGGAAAATCTTCAGTTAAAATAGCGTGTTATTTCGCTTTGATTTTTTTAAAATCATTTCTGGTAATACAGTCTGTTCAATAAGAGCGTACGGAAGGTCTGTCTAGTAAGAGCGTAGTAGACCTATCTCAAAGAAAAATGGCTTATTAGTCTTAAATTTATATTGATTGTATTCAGTAGGATTATGGCCAAAATGCAATTATACTAATAAGAAGTCCAGACACCAGCTGCGTCTATAATAGACTGGCACCTCCGAGCCATACTTTCCACTAAAGAAATCGCATTCGTTTTGCAGCAAATCGTTTATTCTAACACAGTTCAAGCAACAACGGGTACTTTGTTTATAATGCATGCAGCACAAAGGTAACACCTATCAGCGAAAATAAAAATTCAGAATATATCTTTACTCGACTGTAGGTAAGCCTTGCTACGCTCTTACTAGACAGACTGTAGTGGAAAGTATGCCTCGGAGGTGCCAGTCCTATTATAGATGTAGCTGGTGACTGGACTCCTTATTAATATAATTGCATTTTGGCCATAATCCTACTGACAGTGTTTTCCATTATCTAGATAATCATCTAGATGAAGAAATGGCTTTATCTTATCTTTATCTAGATTATTAAGAATATATACTATCTTTATCTTATCTTAAATTTTAAAAAAATGTTATCTTTTTCAATTTATTTAAGATTGTAGAAGAGTACTGTAAGAAATTTTTATGTAAACAATCAATCTTCAGTAGTAGTAGTGATGAAGATTTTTTTCGTGATATAGACAAAACATTTTGGTTCGACACAAGTCATTCAAAGCGACACTCTCATATTTAGAAAACAAATCAAAAGAATTAGATATTCTGAATTTATATCCACACATTAAATAAATTTTTTTAAAATATAATACATCATTGCTATCATCAGCGCCAGTAGAACATCTTTTTAGTTGCGGATAACAAATATTAATTCCATGTAGAAACCGTTTATTAGATGATATATTCGAAAAACTTTTATTTAAAAAGGATAAAGATTTATAAAATATTTATGAAATATTTATAAAAATAATGAATATATTTTTTGTATCCTAAATCGTTTTACTACCAAATAGTTGCTTAAAAACAAAATTATCTTATATAAAAATTATCTAGGTAAACATTTTTTTTAATTTCATCTTTTATCTAGATTAATGTAAAATGAATTATCTTCATCTTATCTAAAATACATTTTTGTGTCATTTATCTTATCTATATCTATATAGGTAATTTTGAATTATCTAAGCGCAACACTGCCTACTGAATACAATCAATTTAAATTTAAGGCTAATAAGCCACTTTTCTTTGAGATAGGCCTAGCACGCTCTTACTAGACAGACTGTATATGGATTCCTCCAACAAGAAACAGTGTAATATAATAATCATTTCAACTTTAACATTAGCAAACAGCAAGGATGTAATAATTCACTGTATCACACTGGCTGCGTTTAGCAGAGAAAGTAATACGATTGATTTATACCAATTTAGATCCACAGTGAGGAAGGGCCAACAGTCGCGTTCAGCAGAATGTTTATTTTGCAACTGTTGGAAATTTCCTTCGCTTAGATTCACTGATTGGATTACACTTTCAGTTTCAGTCCTGTCTCAGCGAAGAGACAGGACTTCCCACGGTTGCAAAAAAGGATCCTTTTCCAGATCATCTTGTTATTTACTAATATTAAACTAAGACGATCAGTTTACAATGGGTGCTTTACATTTGGTGGGAGTTTTCTTTTGTAACGCCAAGTGGACTGCACTCTAGTTGAACAATAATTGACCGATGTTGGGCAACTAATCTTTGTTTTGTTCTAAATTAGTATCCTAAAAAAAATGTACGTCTTTAGGATCGCTGAAGATTGTTTGAAAAAAAAAAATGGGATATGCTGACCGTCTTATTACATTGATCAACCTTGATTGCCACTGAAAGATCTGTGGCAGAAATATCTGTCCTCTGTTCATCGAGTTAAGCGCAACAATGTTCTTACGTTTGTATGGATGTATGAGTGCAATTTCAATCCCTCACGAATCGTCGTCCTCTTTCTCTCTCTCTCTCTCTCTCTCTCTCTCTCTATCTCTCTCTCTCTTTCCCTCCATTGTACATAGTACTTCGACCCATCCTTCCCCGCCTCATCTCGCGCACGAGTAGACTTGTAAGTGACACTCGAGAGAACGAAATGACTCTTGCCAAACTCTCGATGGGGGACGTAGGGACAAATGACTAATTGCATTTAAAACGAAAATCGCAAGAAATATATTGGTATTATAAACGACTGATATCTTGTTATCTCTCTTCGTTATTTTTTGCCCACCCGCAGTCTCAGCTGTACAGACTCGCTATCAGCACTATCAGCCTTACGATTAGGACACTGTGGAGCGTGTCCTGCAATTTGAGTCGTTATAACATTTCATCCAAATATCCGCGGAGGAACGAATACGAAGAAGGTGGACCGATCTTCTGTGGGTCGATTGTGTAGCTTGAAACGAGACGAACGTTATAAAAGTGAGCGAATTTACTGAGATTTATAATTTCATTGGTCAACATTCAGTAAATTCGTTCACTATTGTAACTTTCACCTCGTTTCACAAGCTACACAATTGTCCCTCCCGGTCTTTCGTGGGCTTGGAGATTCAAAATTTTCTCGTGGAGAACCTTTGTAAAGATCTATCTGTAATCGGACGCGCGGGCACGCAAAATAGTGCCCGTGCGAAATTATCACAGCTCGTTGATGCACTAAGATTTAACTAACGTTAAGATATAAATATATGGATACGCAAGACGTGAACTTTTCGAGAATATCCTATCCAGTCCAAAAAGTCGTCAAGTTGTCGTTATCGCAAAATGTTCGTTACGTTTTCATTTGGAGTTCTTGTATGTCGCTAACTAAATCATTCTCCGTATTCGAGGACTTACACGAGTTTACATGTCTTGTATACAGTAGAACGTATTTGGCGCGTGTTATAGTTTTCCACTGTGCATTTTTGACACCAACATCAATTCCGGGCTCGATGTTCTATGATAATAGATTAGCGTACGCGAGTTGATTTCAGTGACGAAAAAATTGGGTATATGATATATATATATATATTTTAATACAATTAATACGCAATCTTGAGATATATATATATATATATATGTGAAGTTTATATAATTTTACCGCTTTCCTTTTATAAATATCTCAATAAAAAGGTATTAAAAAAATGATCTATTGTATATTTACATTAAAAACTGTCAACGCAGACTTGTATTACGAATGATGTTACGTGTGTAATAATTATTAGCGATAGTAATATTATGTCATTATTTTCTACATACTTAATATTTTTGTAATAATAATGCGGAAGCTTAAAGGTAACAAATTTACATGGCACGTTTGTACATTTATTAATAAATTGTATAATATGGAATTGTATTTATATAGGCAGTAAGAAATTCAGACATACACAAAGGCCCAATTGTATTAATATCGATTGAATGTAATTCGAGATTAAACTTCAATATAAATACACATTAGTGTGATACCGTCTATTTAGGATGTCTGTCTTTTATCATAAGGGGGCGCGACTCGTTACTTTCTCTGGTCTTATGAAAATATATTCAAAAAAAAGTAACAATGAAACCTTCCTTCTTCGTTTCGAGTTTTTCCACATAAATACACATGTCGTACGCTGTATGTGTGTATCGCATGAGAATATTTTCCAATCAAAATTCTTAGTGTTATTCTTAGTTACATGTATATACAATATAGGATGGTAAATCCAGATCTTTATTTGTCGACTACTCTAACATTGAACCATCTAGTACCTTGTAAAAAGTAACGGTAAAAATTGTAGTCCTTTTTTCCGGATTAACAAAATTAATTAACAAAATAATTACAAATTATTTCATACTTCTATAAATTACGTTACCTGGATACGATCTTATCGGTTTGCTATTTTTCCTGCAAATTAAACAAATCATTCTACTCCTGATTTTATTTTATATAATAATCCTGATTTATCCTGAGAAGATTTGGTTGAAGATAATGCAGGGGAAGTGGATGAAGAGTTTTTTGAACTCGTGGCAGTACTTGTGTTACGTTTGTCCTGCTTAGCTTTCTTCATCATATCTTTCAGTCTTCTATCTGCGCTGATGATATGAATATTTGGCGTCACCTTAGCTCCACTACCTACGAAGATTAACAGTGTTGGTTTATAATGATTAATTTCACACATGTATCATTAAAGATGTACTTACTTGAGCTAGGTTTTTTCTGCTCCTTAGATTTGCTTTCTATTACAGTCTTTGGTGAACTCCTTTCTTTCGAGACCTAAATTATAATAATTACTACATATGAAAATTTAAGTTTCTCAGTCATATCGAATTATAATATTAGAAACAAATTATGTAATTTTTTTCATATTGAAAAAATTATTTATTGTCATGACATGTTTAACATTAATGTTCGATTAAAAAAATTCTTTTATCTCACATTAATAAATGCACAATTTAATGTGCATATATCTTGTGTTTTTAAAAATTGATCGAACAAGATTTACAATTATTTACTAATATTTGCGAATTAAAGAGATCTTTGATATATCGATACTTCATGTATCTATCAAATGTATGTAGTAACATATCAAAAATTAATTCTTTTGACACATGGTGCAAGAAAAAAATTTCTCACGTTTGTCGTTCGATATTAAATTTAATACAATTGTAGTAAAGAAGGAAAAGAAAATAAAACTCTTACAGTAAAAATTCGCATCAATGTCGAATGAGTAAAAAATAACAAATTAGTAAATTATCTTATTTAAAATTTAACATGAATTCATTAATAGTGATTAATTAATGATAACAATGGATTTTTCGCAAGCAAGCGAAACGATACCCCACATAAAGTATTCTTAAGAAATGGTAAACGTGGGTGAATACACACACCTGTGACTTCGAACAGTTACTGCAGTACCACACTTGTTTTGGAACATTATCTATCTGCGAATCTAAAATATGTGGAACGTGGCACTCTTGATGATACAAAGAGTGACATTCCTGACACTCGACGAGCCTGTTCCTCGCCCCGACGTCCATCCCCTTGCAGATAACACACGTAAGATCGTCCTCTAGGATTTCCAGTGCCAGCGTATCGTCCGACTGCAGGATGTCCGGTGGAGTGTCACGTGCCGGCAAATTAACCGGAGAACTGTTCTTACTTGATTTACTCGAATGCTTGGACGAGCTGGAGCTCTTGCTCTTCTTACTGCTACTGCTACTGTGATCGCTCAACACTGGTTCTTCCATCATGTACTGAAAAAATAGATGTATTTAGAGCAATTCACTTGTTTTACGTGAACAGAATAAATTGTCATTATACCTTCTTGTGCAGAACATTCGACAGCATTTTGGATGGCCCGTACTTCTGTTTAATCGCCTCATCTAACAGGGCTCGCAGCTGCTCTGCGGAATCCTTGTTGGTGGAGTACAGAAGTCGCAGCCCCTGGGTGAATTGAGGATCCAACTCCAACTGAGTCATTTCTTCAGGAAGTGTGTCAGTGATTCACCTTCAGCACGATATCAATTTAATATGTCGCTGCATAAATATTAATTTGACTCGAGACTCCGGCGACAGTCAGGTTATGCCCAGCTATGCCTCGACAAAAATGACAACTCTGTACATATTAAATGTAAATATTTCGTTATATATCAGCTTGCAGGGTGAGTTGCGTGTGAATTCCGCCTTTTCTTCTCTGTATAAAAAAAGTATCGTTCGAAGAAAGGTAAAATCCGCGTTCTCTTGTTTCCACCTTGGGCGAGATTTATCTTGTCGAACGGACAGAAATGTGCAGCACGTTCGTCATGTAACTTCGCGTAGATTTCAAAGTGATGTCAGGAACCTCTGTGATCAAGTCAGACGTAATATCGACATTTTTGTAATGAAATATATCATCCCGTTGTAGGTTATCGCCTTTCGAGCGACGAGCTTTTCGTATGGAGTCACATAAAACCGGTCTAAATTATAAAAGTATCTCTTATACAAATTTTCTTGTACAAATCTCACGACGATCCAATTAAGCAAAACGAGGTGTTCGTCTAACCAGCTTATAATTGTATATAATAATAATAATAATAAAATTGTAAATAATAATAATACTACTAAATAATAATAATAATAATTGTCAAGTAATTCTAATTCTTTCGTCACATATATATATAATAAAACCGCGACTCGGGATTGAATTTCGTTGTCTGTTAAATGTGGAAAACACCGAATATTGCTTGAATTATTGCTACCATCGAAATTTTTTTAACTTACACGTTTATGTGCATTTCAAAGCATAAAAGTATAATAGAATTCATTCATAAGATCGCAAGTTGAGTTACAAATTTATTATTAAGGAGTAGAAAAAGTAACGCGCTACATTCAAAGATGGATTGATACAAATCGATAACAAAGAAACATTCTCAACAATGATAGAGGTCGAAACGTATGCTTTCAATTTTTATTAAACTTTATATGTACATACATTTTTAACTAACGACACTCTTCATTTACTAACATTTTTATATATATTAACAAATTTTCGGCTCGTAGCCCTGTTTTTTTAAATTATTTTCAAATTTATTGAGCCTTATTACAAATATATATATTCTCGACAATATAAATTTTTCCTGCGCGCGAGAATTTGAAAATGCCGCCGGAAGTACACGGGACTGATCGCACGACACCTACGAATCCGTCGCGGTCGCCAGGAACTCGGGGAATGCAGAGTGCATTGCCACGCGAGGACGCGCAGCCTGAACTCCTGCCCCCCCCCCCTCCTCCTCTCCCCCCCTTCCTCCTCCCCTCCCTGCACCGCGCATTCCAGAATTTCCAGATGATTCCAGTCCGGACTCGTGCTCGATCTGACTCGATCCTCTCGAAGCTTCGATTCATTAAATGCGAGTCCTGGAGTATACGAGATAAAATTCAGGGGCCAAAAAAAAAAAAAAGCGTATTCCTTATATATTCTTTCCGATCGTATCGCGCAGAGCGTCGCACTGCATCCGCACACACGACGGAGAGGCGGTCGGAACGCACAGCGTCGTCACCGCCGCCGCCGCCGCGATCGAAAGAAGGCGACGAGGTGAAAATATAACCAAAGAAAGACCAAAATAGTAACTCCGCGCGGGCGACGTGAGGTGGATACAGTGCGGCGCGGCGAGCGAGCGAGAGAGAGAGAGCGAGCGTGGGATCTCTGACCGCGCATGCGCGTAACGAGGGCCCAAACGGTAATACCCGCGTCCCGCTCGCGTCGCTCGCCGGCCCGATCGTGCCGTCTTCGTCTGGCGCGGTTTACGGCAGCGGAGAGGCGAACCCCCGTCGAAACTTTCGACGGGCAGAGTTGGCAGCCGTGCGTAAAAGAAATAAATAATCAAAGCGACCATGAAGTGACAAATAAAGTCGAGGGATCCGAGAGAGAACAATGCTCGCGCGTACGACGGCCAAGTGGACGACATCCCGAGTCGCGCAGGTATAGCTGTGCTGTCCGCCCCGCTGTTTGATCCGTGCACCCCCGGGCCCGCCGCGTTCGCGAGCGCGTGAGTGAGTCCCGCGGCGTGGAACGCGCCGCGCACCGCCACCGCCGCAGCCGCAGCAGCCGCGCACCACACAGGCCACGCATACACACGCGCACGCACGCAACGTACACACCACACACACACCAGCAGCAGCAGCAGCCGAAAAGGTGCGTGCCGTGGTGACGAGGGTGACACTTGGGACAAACTTTCTCCCACGCGGCCGAGCGCTACGAGAGACTCGTCGGCCGCGTTCCGGCCGCAGCTACCAGCCGGTTCTCCGCCCGAAGGTAAACTCGGCCGTCCCGGCCGGATCTCGGGTCTCGGTGATCCAGGTGGCGAGGCTTCCCCGCAGCATCCCCGAGACACACGCACACACGATAGACTGCGACGGACTCGGGTCCATCGTGTTGTTGTCCTCTACGTGTGTTGGAAGTGGCCACATGGCGGGGCTTCGTGCCAACGGAACGGTCCCGTAGGTGCCGTCTGGGGAGTGCGCGTGATCTACGATATCGCGACCAGACGACGTGCGCGTCTCATCGTTAACCTATCCTCTCTTTCTGTCTCTCTCTCTCTCTCTCTCTCGTTTCGCCTGTCCTTTCTCTTCCTTGGCGACAATCGGGGACGCGGACACCTAGTGCCAGTGGCCATGCGTCTTTTTCCGCTGTTCAGCCGCGACAGCCAGGTTTGACACGCTCGGTCGTTCGCGTATGTGCGGTAAGCTCCAGCCATGAAAACCGAAAAGAAGCCCAACGAGCCTAGCTGTTGTCCTCCTACCACCGTTGTTAAGGATGAGCCTGACGCCGACCCGGTTAAGATCAAGGAGGAAGGCACAGGTGGGAATGACGATGCGACCGGGGAAGATACCTCCGAGTGTCCGAGAGACCCTTGCCTGGACCCATCCAATGGCGAAGGTACAATGACTGGGGAGAATCAAAATACCAATGGGAATCAGCCCATCCTGAATTCGGTCAAGCAAGAGGGAGACCCTAACAATCCTACCGACAGTCTACCTGGTAAGATTAGCTATAAATACATCTGTGGTTCATTACTTCTTGTCTCTACTTGTGTATGTTTGTTTTTCTTCTCACGTGTCTCGTATTTGATTAATCAAATTGTCCTTTTTGCTGTAGATTATAGTGGAAATGTTATTACAGCGGACAGCATTCAACCACTTGTTAGTAATGTCGTGGGAAAACAGATGGGAACTAGTACGAGCAGCGGGGAGACTCAGTATATGCAACAGTCGAGTCAAGTTTTTGTATTTTCTACCGCACTGGCGAATAAAGCCGCAGAGACGGTGTTGAGAGGCGAATATGATTCGATCATCGCTTATCATTGTGCACAACCAGGCACTAAAAAGTATTTGGAGGTATTGTGCGCAGTATTGAATTCTTTTAACAGTGCTACAGATTTTCTATTACACACACATATATGAACAGTTTGTTACAGAAATTAAATTTTTAATCATAGAAAAATTTTGTATAACTGTTGAAATGTTACGAATAAGTACTATTGTCACATTTAAGTATTTATTTTTTCAAAATAAAATAAACATAAAAATGGCATTGTAAGAGTCATATAAATAAGAATAATAATTTTTAAGCAGCAAATTTTAAATCATATATTTTAACTTTACCTATTGAAACAACGCTTAAAACTAACTTATAATACAACATAACAATGATAAAGATGTATGACATTATATTACATTACATTAACTAGTTTCGACCACATATTTTGGTCCTCTTCAGAATAGACATTAATTATAGATATCGCCAACAGGAATAAAAGAGATTTATAGAATCGTTATATAAATCTGTGTGTAAAAACAGTATGAGGTTAAAATGACTATGGATTTAAAGTGAACATAAATATTAGAAATAACTATGATCTTACAATGCCATTTTTATATTTATTATTTTGTATAAAGAAAGAGTCCTTTGTTTTTTCTTAATTTTACTTATTTTTTATTCATTTATACCATTTATATCTGTGTTTCATTTGTATCATTTTTAATGTTAAATATCTCACACATGAAATGTTACTGAAAGTAACTTGTCTTTTCATATACATTATTTACAACACACATTACTTATCGTTTATTTAATTGCCATTTAATATACATTTATCGTTTTTATTCTTTTAGAAACATCCAAATAAAGTAAATCAATTTCGACAAAATCCTGCTCAATGGTTAAATAATCTTGCTATGATGAAACAGAAAGGCCATCAGGGAAATGCGAATAATACTTTCCCGACTGAACAACCCCCGGATTTACCAGCACTAGATCCGAATGCTCCACAATTTTGGAACGAGCAACCTAACTTGCGAAATATAAACGGTGGAAACTCCCTCGGTAATTCTGAACCATCATTGGATGATGGAAACATAGACGTGCCTTGCCTTGTGCCGAATTCACCTGGTAATTCAGGTAATTTTTCGTAAAAGATACTCCTTCCATGTCAATTACTAATGTTTTTGCCCAAAATTTAATGTACGTTATGTTTTCTAACACAGCCAATCCTCAACCCGCTAATAACGCTACCATGGGCCACAGTCCGAATTTGTTAGGTGGCACGACGAGTCCAGGTCCAGGAGGTTTACAACCATCTCTCCAAGGTGTCAAGGTTCCAGATGAAAATTTGACACCGAAACAAAGGCAGCACAGAGAAGTTCAACTGGCGACCTTGCGAAAGATGCAAATGATATTATTTCCCGGTCACAAGGAGGAACAATCTGGCAATGCTTTAACAGATGCGACGCAAGGAACGACGGTGTCATGCCCTCCCACGAATGTTCCTCCTGTAGGTGTTCCGAATCAATATTCTCCGTCAATGGATTGGCACAAGTTACAGCATCAGTTTCTTGATGGAAAAAATAAGGTACGTGTAATAAGTTTAAATCTTAAGTAAAATATTTTTCGTTAAAAAAGTCCAAGTAGATGCATTTATTGTGTATATTGTAGACGACTGTCGGTAATCCTGGCGCAGTACCGTTGCGCGGTACCAACATGGTTGGAGTATCGCGAAGTCAAGGTCCGCCACCACCGTACCATCAGACAACTCGATCCGCCAGTGTACCAATTGCGATTCAAAGTCCGAATCCGTCGTCACCTAACAATCCGACCAGCAATCTGTCGCTACCATCACCGCGCGCAAGTTCCGCTCTGAATTCACCAGCGGACTGCAACAGACAGTTCCAACTTGGTAATCAGAGAACCAGCCACTTGCCAGGACAAAGCCCGACGAGCCAGGACTCTCCGAACCCGACGGCAGCCGCAGCAGCTGTTTCAACGACGCGGTTGAACCACAGCAATCCAGGGACACCAGTGTCTCATTCCCATATCGCTGCTCTTAGTCCTAGTGCTACTACTGCTCAAAAAGATACTTCCCTCGATTTTCCTACCAATCAACAACCAAACGGTAGGTTTACTTCGACATTTTCTTTTTTGCAAAAATTTTTCATTGATTTGATCAAAGTGTAATTAATAAAAATTTTATATTATTTATAGATTAAATTTGTGTGTGTGTGTGTTTTTTCGATTTAGTGGACGGTATGTTTTGCCGAACACTACAGTCCTTAGCTCAACAAAAGCAGCAACATGCTGGTAACGTTAATGCGTCGGCCGTGAAAGAAGCAAATCTGATGCCAGTACCGAGTCCTCATCAACTTCAATACCTTAGCACGTTCGAAGGGCAGGAATTGACTATTCAGAAACAACCTAACACGAGTCTAAAAGATGGCAATTCATCCACGTAAGTAGAGGCCCTCGTTCTCTCATTTTAAACAATATGGAGTAATAGCATTCGAAAGCGAAAAGATCTCACATTCGATATAAATATGATAAAATTTGCGCACAACTATGTGATGTTTTTCTTGTGACAATAGAAATACCGGCGGTTCTTCGGAGATGCCCAACAGAATCTTACCGGGAAGTCTGGACAGTAACAGTCAATTTCCTACTAGATCGGAGGGCGCGAGTCCCGTACAAATGGACAGTATGAATCGAGGTTTCACGGGTTCTCTTCATAGTCCTCATACACCGCACACCCCGCACACCCCGGGTAGTGTCGCGCCGCATACTCCAGCGGATCCTGCGAAGCCGGGCAACAAATCCAGCGCGAGCGCGCAAAGTAGTCCAACGCCGCACAACACCAGCATGTCCGATAGTATGGGTCCACCGCGAACGATACCGGCATCACCTACTATGAAACCCGATACATCTCCACCGTCCGTAAAAGATGTTCAACAACAGCAGCAGCAGCAGCAACAACAACAGCAAACGCAGTCGCAACAGCAATCGCAGCATCAACAACAGCAACAACAACAGCAACAACAACAACAACAGCCTACAGTGGTAAATCCGAACAATTCTAGCAATACGACGGTAGTGCCATCGTTGAGCGGCGGTCCCGCCGGTGCTTCTTTCCCCTGTGGCAGACCGTCTATAAACGTGAGTCAACCATCTGACAACGTGCCTCTCAATCCTAACAACATTGGCGGTCGACTCGGTGGTTTGAACACCATGAGTGCGAATTTCGATCCGATAACGTCCCTGGCGCAGATGAGCCAGCAGCTCACGAATACGGCGGCTAGCAACTCGCTGGGCAACGAGCCGATGCATTCCGGCAACGCTGTTGGCATGATGCCGTTTGGCAATCCACACGCCGGAATGCACATGATGCAGATGGGTGGTGAAATGAACGGAAGCTGCCATATGGGTGCAGCCAGCGGTGAACCCGGCAACGAGGTCGGCGGTATGTGCATGGGTCTTGCGGGTCCTCCAACGAGCTACAGCCCTACTACTCCGCATACGGGCAGCCCCGGCGGGGTTCCCAGCAAGATGGGGCATCCTGCTATAATGGGTGGTCATGGGATGATGGGTGGTCACTCCGGTGTCGGTGCAGCCGGCGCTGCTTATCCTGGCGGTGACCCCGGGCACGCGCCACCGCCAAGATTAATAACCGGCCACGGAGTCACAGGTCCCAGTCCCTACAATGGCGCGAACGTTCAAGTAAAGCCGAATGCACCCAATACCATACAATACTTGCCGGCCAGGCCGAACGTCGGTCACGCACCTCGGGGTCCACCCAGTCTGGACTTCCTTCCGCGATTTACCAATCCGCTGTCGAATCTAGAGTCGAAAATGGGTGGGACGCCCTCTGTAAATCTTCAGTACTTCCCGAACGGTTGTATGCCGAACAACATGGGGGGTCCGCATAGCGGTATGCCGTCCAATATGAATGCCGCCGGGATCCCTGGTATGGGTGCCACTCCCAGAATGGACGGTCAGTCCATCAACACCTCCGGCACCATGCACCCGTCCATGAGACAGGTCGGCAATATGCGACCGCAACCGAATTTGATGCGGATGCAGCATATGGTAGGCGGCGGCGTCTTCCCAGGCGGCTCTATGGACGCCGACAAAGTCTTCCCACCCGACATGGTGTCGCAAAATCTGTCGAACCAGCCGAATCCAGGCATGTACGGCGTATCCGGCAATAAGGCCAGTCCGATGGGACTGGGACCACCGCCCGATGCCACTCAGCCTCTACCGCCGAGCATGGGCGGTGCAACCAGCAATTTCAAGACCGGCCCATTCGTCGGAAGCGGACCAAGTATGTCTGACCCAAATTATGCTCAACAGTTTCACAACTTCCAACAGCAGCTTTACGCCACTGGTACCAGAGGCAGCGGGCCGCCGCATCCCAATCTGCATCCACCGCCGAACTCGCACTCGCATCAACAATTTTTCATGCCGAAGTGAACGCTGGCCCGCGCGTATTGATCCATATCGTGAATGATAACGATGACGAGAACGGGAATGACGGGAACAAGGACGATTTTTACGGTGGCCTTTCATCCCTCTTTTTCTCTCTCTTTCTCAATATCTCTTGCTCTCTTTCTATCTATCCATCTATCTTTATCTCTTTCGTCTGTCAGGGATGTTTCTTATTAATCACGCGAGATAGTTCTGGAAGTGTAAACTGTGCTGGCGATGTTACGCGAGGACAGAAAGGAGTAAGAATGAATATTGGTGAGCGTCGCTGAGCATCGCAATTTTCAAAGCTGATTATCGTTACGGCTGATGTGCGACGAAAATTTTTGTTGACTCTTCAATTGTGTATAACGTTTACGTACGTGTTAAGTGAGATTTTTTTTTTTAGTTTTTTTCTCTTTAATGTCTGGACCATGACGTATGTCGTGTTTCCAAATTTGTTATCTCGACGTCTTGGAAGTGTCGTTTTTTGAGCCGAGATCTTCCGGAACTATTTGTAAATCGCAAATGTTAACGAAAATGTATGAATATTCTCCCTCGCGTTCGTGTAAATACTGATGTATGTACAATCTGGTTTTTTTCTTTCCTTTTTTTTTTGTAAGAGTCGGTACTTCGGATCGAGAAGCACATTGCTATATAGATTAAGAAATATGTTAACTACTCGAGTGTAAAAAAATAAGAGAGGAAGAAAATAAGTGAAATCTCTCCTTTTTTTTGTGCTGTTCATAATGGTTACTCGGGGATAAAGTAATCGTATAAAAAAAAAAGTGCATGGTATGACGAGCAAGAGGATTTTGGTACGTCGGTGCCGCAATTCATCCTTCCTTTATCACTAAAATACTTAAACACAGTCAAACAAGCTCAAATTTATTATTGTACATATATACCATATACATATTATACATATTATATATATATTATATATATATATATATATATACCTGTTGCAACATAATCCCTTCAATATCCCTAAACTCCTTCATAAATCCTCCCCATGACCAACTCTGTGCATAATCATGACTTCTCCTCCCCTCCCCGCCCTTCCTCTACCTGTAGTTTACGATATAAGGAAAGAATTAATTGAACTAAGAACAATTATGTTGTTGATGAATGATTTTTATTATAAATGAAAAATAAAGATATTTACAAGAAGTCAGTACGATATTTGATCGATAAATCGTTTTGCGATTCAAGAACACGGCCGTCGGAGTTCACACGACAAGTCCATTATCTGCAATGACGCGGGACACGACTAATTTAAAAAGCGCTACATTTTTCAAAGTGAGCAGGCTGTTTCTCAACTTACTCAAATCTGTGATAGTCAAAGCAAGAGAACGTATCCTTTCCTTTTGGTCTCTTCCAAAAGATGCAAAATACATATCTGTTTGGAGAATGATTCTTTAATACTACACTCGACGTGATTGTCCACTTAATGCGAGCATTATCCATAGATAAATTATGTAAGGAGGGGGGGGGGGAGAGAGAGAGAAAGAGAGAGAGAGAGAGAGAGAGAAGAGGAGGACAAAAGAAGAAAAAGTTAGGTTCTTTCAGGCAATTTGAGCAATGTGAAGCAGTGACACGGCTACATCGATACATAGTTACGTTTGTGATAAAAGTAATAGGAATCTTAGAAGTCTTAGAACACTGCGAGACGACGGGGCTTGCGCAGAGCAGCGTTGACACCATCTATTACCATAGGAGTAAGATCTTTTTCTACAACGTCATATTTAGCTTGTAAAACGAGCTCTGTATAATTTCTTCTATAGATTCATGTTGAAATTATCAATCTCGTATCTCGCTAACGAAACGTGCTACTTGCGCCGAAGTAGTTTTTCATAAACTTTGCAATCGCGTTAGAACAACGATATTACCCGAGCAAATAGGAGACCTACATTTTCGCTTCCTTAGAATCAACGAAGCTATGAGCTCAATTATAAATGTAAAGCTTATCGTTAGTCGATTTCCCTTTGTAATAAGTCACACACTATCGGCCACTTTACATCCACAAAGGTGCGTACTAAATTACTAAAACTTGCGTTGCGTATATTCCTTAGTTGCCGAGCACTGGTTGCGTTCTTTCTCTCATCTCCTGGTTCACCTGTAAAATTTCATATGTTGAATGAGAAAAAAACGTTTGCGCTTCTTCCTTTTGCTAAAGCTAAATCGACGCTAAATCTTTCTACTCGATGTCTACGCGATATACTGAGATACAATATCGCAATAAAAGAGCAGGTTATACTTTAAGTCTTAAGATATGGAACTATACATTATTTTAGCAAAATTCATCACACTGTATGCTGTCTGCAACTGATCATCATAATCAATTTTATACCCGAAACCCAAGTCAAACCTGTCCTTCTGTACAGCCCTTCATTGGTTGGATGTGCCTGAATCGCGCCGATCATCTCCGTTTCTGTAAATATGTTTCATGCCTTAAATAAACGTTTTTGATACAAATGTCGTTAATTTAATGATACAAGAGATCATTGGTTAATTATACGGATTGAGTAACGGATATAATTTGCATTGCATTACCGCTATTAATTTACCTTGACCGTTGTGCTTCCGAAGATATAGTACTTCCGTTTGTACTGAAAGATAACAATCTGCAATAATGCTTACAAAGATGGATAATAATGTAATTGTATGTATAGTTACCTTTTTTTTGCTGGTGCAAAGTCATCCCATTCGCTAAGGTCGTATTTAGATAAATCACCATCTTCCTCCTCTTCCTCCTCGTCGTCTTCCTCTTCCTCCTATGATTTACGATACCAATTCAATGCCCACAACATATTTTAATCAATGCTACATCAAAGAGCGTGACATATCAAATTCTATCACACTTTTCAAGTCATGCCACTTTTATCGACATAAAAGAAATTTTACATTTTCCTCTTGCTCCTCTTCTTCGTTCCTTTCCTCCTTGTCTCTGGATTTACTACGCGGGCTGCTATGCTTGGAATCCTTCGAGTCGTCGTCGGAATTCTTCTCTAATTTCCGCTTTTTCCTACGCCGTCCGAACTCGTCGTACTCGTCATCCTCATCTCGCCTTTCCTTGTACTCGACGACCCCTCGGTCGTTATACCCACCTCCGTATCCTGTGCGTTCCTCTATCTCACCGAATTTCGGGGCGTTGCACATGTTACACTGTTGTCGGCGGGCCCAATTTACGTTACCACACTTGCTACATTGCCAGTCGTCCGCGCTGTAAATGTTTATTGTTTATATTTTGCATATATTTGTATATATACACACACACACATATACATATATGTATGTACATGATTTGAAAGCTTGCAGAGATGATTGCAGAAACATAATAATGTAAATGAACACATTCTACTCTTATTATATCGTTTCTTTTTAATATCCAGAATATTGATATTTCCAAATTCATCATACACTGTTATCTAATAAATAACTCCTCTTTGTAAATTCTAAAATTCTAAATGCACAAAAATATTAGCTTTATTTTAAATTATCATAAAGAGTTCTTAATTTCATAAACAGTTATTATTTGCATACTGCATAACTAATTTTGATATATTGTTTATTATTAATAAAAAGTAATTTTAAACCTATTACCTAAATAGGCCTCTACTTTTTTCCGCGGCTGCTTTCCCAATCTCCTGACCCAACTTTTTCTTTTTCGGACATTCACCTCTATCTGCATCAGAAAATTAAGTACACTTATTGATAAAGATAAATAAAATTTCGAATATTTTATACAGCAGATGCTCGGAATCAGAGCTGGGCATGTATTTAAAATACTTTTATTTGAAAACAGTATTTGTAATACGATTGTATCATACATTTTGTATTTCAGCGGTGTACATGAAAATATTCTGCATTTTATATTTTATGGAAGTATATAAAAGTATTTTATATTTTGTATTAATAATAAAAGATTGAAAGTATTTTGTATTTTAAATACTAAGATTGACGATTAATGTTATTATTTAAATTATGAAATACATGAAGCTTTCAACCTTTCAATTTTAAATACAAAATATGTAATACTTTCATGCACGCCACTAAAATATGAAATATAAAATCTACTTTTATTGCAAAAACTGTGTTTTAAATAAAAGCATTTTAAATACATGCCCAGCCCTGCTCGGAATGCTATTTTATTTGTAATTTCATTTATATCTATAATATACAATTGGCATTCTATGTTTAATATAATATATTCACTACACATATTGCAAAACCGCTTCTTGGGAGTAACATTAAATATTTCAAACACTGTACCCAGCTGTGCGTACCTTTTCCACAGCGATTGCAGGAGTTGCGTCTGGCGAAATTTATATTGGCACATCTGAAAAGAGACGAGGGGGGGAAAAATCATTAATGAATCATTATTCAATTGTAACGCAGTTGCATGGAAACGTGGTTGCACGGGGGAGGGGATGTGTGCGAGTCGTGAGGCTCGTAGTGGCATCACGTTGACTATATACGTACTGCGAGTCAGGGCAGACCCAGTCGCCGTCGTTGACACCACGCTGATTCTCGTCGTCGACCTTGCCGTCCATGTCGCTGTTGGAGCGATTTAGTGCCGCGCTTAAGTTTGCGGACACCGATTCCGCTGGGCTCCGCGTCGTGCTCCGCCGCGCGAACCGTGTACGCCTAACCTTGCGACAGCTCGTCCGTGATAGCGAGCGACGTGTTGTTACTCCGTGACACTATCGTATACTTTACAGCAGTCAACTGGAGCAAACGCTATCGCGGCTGCACGAGTCTATTGAGCATTGACCAGCGGTGCTTACGACAAGTGGCATTAGCCGTTCAGTATCATCGACGCAAGCTCGTTAGCGGTCGGCAATCGGCGTCGATGCATACACGAGATATACGAGAACACGAGTGTCAAATGCATACGAATGCGGACGAGCGCGCGCCGTCAATCTGGACGAAACTGTGTGCGAGGCTGCTACGACCTGTATCGGCTGTATCTGGTCTGGCGCAGAGTACATTGCGCACGGGACGCATAGCGGTGTCGTCGTCGTCGTCACATCAGTCGTCGGTCGGGTCGACACCGGCGACACCAGGCGACGCCTTATCGCGAGGATTCACGGAACAATAGGGACTGCGCAGAATAAAGCGGGGAGCACAGACTTTTGCATAACGCATAAACCATATACATAAAGAATTTGATTGGTCCATTGACTCATGCATAAGAAAATGGGCCAATGAAATTCCTTATGCACATGCTTTATGCGTTATGCAAAAGTCTGTGCTCCCCGCTTAAAGGCCGCAGCACACACTTTTGCATAACGCATAAACCACAGTATAAGGATATACAGTAGGGACAAGCAGCGTCGGCACCTTTGATCTATTTCAGCCGGACTTTCAGGCTCCGTCATGTTGTTGGTTGCCAAGTACCGTATCAATAGTATTAGAAACCACTGTCTATAAAAAATTTTTTAATTTTAGCAAATTATAATACAGTCGGTCAAGTAAGAGCGTAGTGTAAAGAAATGGCCTATTTCAGTTACTAAGCGAGCTAGTTCTTTTCCGTTATTTCTCCATTACTAGCGCTCCACTCGCATGCGCGCGCAGTCCTTTCCGCTTGTGATTGGTCTGCCTTTAGTTCTAAGTTGTTGATTGACTTAAGGTGCTTTTTCATGCGCAGCACGATGCAGCAGCAATTCGTTACTATTGGTTAAGAATTTTATGTAAGCTAGATGACGCACTTCCGGCGCAAAATACATTTTGCCGCAGTTCGTTGAAGTTGAACCGAACAAACAGCAAGCGGCAAAATCGAGGCAATATTATTTATTGCAATAAATATTAGGAAAATTAACGAAGAATGACTTCGGATAAGGTACGAATGTTTGTAAATTAGATCATTTTATACTTTACACTTTACTTTTTCAAATTTGTGGTAAAGTATAAAATGATCTAATTTACAAACATGTATCCGTACCTTATCCGAAGCCATTTTTCGTTTATTTTCCTAATATTTATTGCAATAAATAATATTTTTATAATGAAACGACGGACATATTGTACGCTTTCTCGATTTTGCTGCTTGCTGCTTGCTGTTCGTTCGGTTCAACTTCAACGAACTGCGGCAAAATGTATTTGCGCCGGAAGTACGTCATCTAGCTTACATAAAATTCTTAACCAATAGTAACGAATTGCTGCTGCAGCGTGCTGCGCATGAAAAAGCACCTTTATACACGGCGTCTCTCCCTCCTCGGGAGCCCGCCTGAAGTGGCAGTCGTTGTTCATGCACGGTCGTGCAGCGAACGCAGTCAGTATTGTTTGAGATATCAAGCATTGTACTCATATTCACGTTAAGTAAAGTTATAGTAAAGCCTACTTAGTGTGTTCTGACTTTTTGCTCGTCGCCCTCTTTATACCAGACATCCTGGTTTACTTTAGATTGTCCCCGAGATGTCCTCGGTTCCTTTATAGCCGTGATTAAGGGTGCTGTCCCATGATACGGAAATTACACCGGAACGGAACAATGAGACCAATCAGATCTCTGCAATCATTACTCTACTTTCCTTTCTGCGATTGTGATTGGTCTCACTGTTCCGTTCCGGTGTAATTTCCGTATCATGGGACAGCACCCTAACCCACGACTTCCTTCCCTGACTCTCTAAGGCAGTTTTAAACTTTAGATTGTCCCTGCCTTACAGTAGTCACGATTACTAGCGATTGGTAAAGAAGAATGCTGTAATTTTTATTTTCTCCTACAGAGGGCAGTATAGTCATTCATGCTTTATAAAGGAGAATCAGCTGACTGTTGCTTTTAATTCGAATCTAGCATTTTTCCAAAATGGGTACCGTTTACGCGTCGCGCTTCGAAGCAGTGTTTTTGTGCTTGCACCCCAAAGGACCTCAAATGACGCAAACGGCTGCTGCAAAGTACATGCAAAAGTCGAAACAGTTCGTCAGTAAGTGGGTGAAACGTTACAAAGAGGTGAAAAATGTGGACGATTACCCAAATCGCGGTTCGGTTGGCGTAGTGTCAGAAAAAGACGAAAAAGTGATTTGTACCCTGTTTTCGAAGAATCCAACATTATCTCTGCGTGAAGGTGCTCAGGAATTATCGAAAAAAGGTTTGATAATATCGCACGAAACTATTCGCAAGTATTTGCATACTAATAGTTTAAAGTTCAGAGGTACTTTACAAAAGCCAATGCTGAGTGAAAAACACGTTGAAAAACGTCTCGAGTGGGCAAGGGAACATTTAGATCGTGACTGGGACAATGTTGTGTTCACCGATGAATTATCTTTTCGTACTAGGGCGCGTAAAATGATAGTTTTACTCCCGCATTTGCGGGAGTAAAATGCGATTTTACAACCCCGGGGGTGTAAAATACAACAACACCCAATTTACTCCCCATTCAGCAAAACAATTGATGAACCTCATTCCCCATGGTTTTTTTTTTTTTGTATTGACATTCTTACCAGGAATTGTACAATTCGAACGACGAAAACACGCCTAGGATTTCACGTAAACAGTAACAAAGAGGTAGAATATACATGCTAATTTTTCCAATAGTACATTACGATAGAAGGGTCGTAAATGGCACTTTCTGGCACGGCGAAGTTAGCGAACGAGCGTAGCGAGTATTGACATTCTTACCAGGCCTATTAATTGTACAATTCGAACGACGAAAACACGCCTAGGATTTCACGTAAACAGTAACAAAAAGGTAGAATATACATGCTAATTTTTCCAATAGTACATTACGATCACGGAGTATTAAGAAGGAGTAAAATCTTCATAGCCTGATCGCCTGAAAAGTGTCCCCGTTTCGACGCGCTCGCACCCTTTTCCGTGCCAGAAAGTGGCACTTTCTGGCATGGAAAAGAGTGCGGTAAGCGCGAATTTACGGCACACAGTGCTATAAAATAAATTAATTAAGTATATTTTCATTTCTGTTCTTGTTTACATTAAGTAAAAAGACGATTCTTTCTCCTATACACATACATTTTCAAGACAGATTAATTCAATTTGGCTTGTACAATCGAAGAGTACACGCAGAAATGAGTTCACACGAAAATAATTATATTCCTCCAGATATTTTGTTAGCTGCACAAACTGCTTCAACATCTTCACTGCCAGAGAAATCTCAAGTTATTTATAAAAAAACCTATAGTGAATTTGTGAAATGGAAAACCGTGAAGGGAACAAAATCATTTGACGAAGCAGTACTTTTAGCTTATTTTTTTGACCTATCTAAAACATATTCTTCAGCCACGCTGTGGTCAAAGTACTCGATGATTAAAAGTATAATACAGATTGAACACGATATTGATATCGCGAAATATTATAAATTGTAACAGTTTTTGAAGAAACAGCACCGAAATTACGAACCTAAAAAGGCGAAGGTTTTCTCAGCACAGGAGGTTCATAAATTTATCAACGAGGCTCCGGACGATGTATACCTGTCATCAAAGGTATTAATATTTTTATGCACGGGCGGGCGTGAAGTTCGTTCGAGTCGCGCCGTTTTTCGCGGGCATTGCATCATCTCTATGGCTGCGTTCAGCAGAAAAAGCAGCTTTGCAACTGTTGTAAAATTCTTGAATATAATTGGCTTATACATTTAGATCTAACGAGGAAATAAGGGCAAGACCAATCATATTAAAGAATTTTACAACAGTTGCAAAGCTGCTTTCTGTGCTAAACGCAGCCTATGTCATTGCTATGTTAGAAATTTGTGAACGGGGCCATTTTACCCATAGACTTAAGGTTGATTTATACTGGCCATAATCTGTTAACTTATGCCGTAATCTGTAAAAATTGACCAATCACAGTCGAATGAGAGGGGAATAATCGATTATAATTGGTCAATTTTTACAGATTACGGCATAAGTTAACAGTTTACGGCCAGTATAAATCAACCTTTATACTCATAGGCTGCGCATCTCAACGGGCCGACTGTCGTCTGGACTAGAGAGAGAAAGCATGAGTGGTCGGAGCTTTGTCTCTCTCTAACGATGGTAATGGTGGTAATCGTTAGAAAGAGACAAAGCTCCGACCACTCATGCTTTCTCTCTCTAGTCCAGACGACAGTCGGCCCGTTGAGATGCGCAGTCTATGAGTATA